TGAGATGATAGAATACAAAGATATACAGTGTGCAGACTGATGTTGTCGAAGTATCTTCACTCGCCTATTGTTCTTATTCTCGAAGTCGTCGTATATGGTCAGTGTGATCGTATCTGCTATAACTGTAGGCATGTCAGATGCAAGAATGCGAAGTTACAGTTTTAACATAGTCGAAGTCGAAGTTTCTTGATCTGCCTGTTGTGTGCGATATACCGCTTCGATGTCGTCTTATATGATCGTTGCGAACTAATATGCTCCAGAGGTATCCATGTGAGATGATAGAATACAGAGATACAGTCTGCAGATTGATGTTGTCGAAGCATCTTCACTTGCCTATTGTTCTCGTTATATGTCCTTCGAAGTCCTCTCATATGGTCAGTGCGATCGTATCTGCTATTGTTGTGGGCATGTCAGATGCTAGGATGCGAAGTTACAGTGTAAACATAGTCACAGTCGAAGTTTCTTGTTCTGCCTGTTGTGTGCGTTATATCCGCTTCGATGTCGTCTTATATGATCGTTGCGAACTAATATGCTCCAGAGGTCTCCATGTGAGATGAAAGAATACACACCAACAAAGTACATTCACTACTACTATTGAATAATTAGGAGTTATCAATCATTATCATTAGTGGTATTAAAGTTGTTGATAGTGAAACTTCTACAGATACAATGGGAGAATTTCATTCATTTTATTTGATCAAATTTAATGATGATTGTCAAGGACTAATCGTATTAGATAATATGAAACTACTTGAAATTAATTTAGATTTTGATAAACATATTTTTGTTAGGTACTCTACTGCGATTACATCGAACAAAAATCAAATTGGATTAGAGATTTTTTCGAGGATTTTTTACTCCTACAATAGAACAAGTGATTAAGAAAAGGGATAATAATTATTCCTCATTAAAAACTGCATAATTGTGAAATTCCACAACGCAGATTTTCAGACGTGTATAAGTATACAGGGTGTTGCGAAATTCGACCGACAACGCTTGACAGGTGATAGCCCTCGTGATTTCATAATCACTGAGATAGGGAAATACGGTCTTCAAGTGTTCAGTTCTCGAGATACAGGGTGTTGAAGTTGAGAAATTAAAATAGTTTTTTCGCAATATCTCAAGAAAAATTGAATATACAGGGTGGGCCACCAGTAACGCCTCGGTCTCTAGAAGGCTAACCACTTATCTTCTTGGAATTCTTCCTCTCTAGGAAGTTGCATGTCAACATAGGCTACCATTTGAAATTATTTTGAAACATACAGGATGTCCCCAAAAATCACAAAACACTGAAGTTGACCTTCTTTCAATCGAACACCCTATATATTATTTCATTTTGAGATTCTCCCTGGTGAGCTGATTTCAACAATCCATCATACTTGGGGTCTAGCAGTTATAATTACTGAGATATAGGGTGTGAGAAATCGAGATTTTTCCAAGTTCAAGAATTTTTTGTGTCTAAACCATTCATAATTGGTCAAAACGGCTCACATGTCCCTATCTCAACTTTTGATCAACTATCTACTGACATTCAATTGAAACAAATACAGGGTGGTGCAGAATTCAGAATCTTGATCACCCGGTATATGTCCCAATTAAATATCAGTAGATAGTTAATCAAAAGTTGAGATAGGGACATGTAAGCCGTTTTGACCAATTATGAATAGTTTCGACACAAAAAATTCTTGAACTTGGAAAATCTCGATTTTTCACACCCTATATTTCAGTAGTTATAACTGCTAGACCCCAAGTATGATGGGTCGTTGAAATCAGCTCATCAGGGAGAATCTCAAAATGAAATAATATATAGGGTGTTCGATAGAAAAAAGTTTAACTTCAGTGTTTTTTGGTTTTTGGGGACACCCTGTATGTTTCGAAATAATTTTAAATGGTAGCCTATGTTGATATGCAACTTCCTAGAGAGGAAGAATTCCAAGAAGATAAGTGGTTAGCCTTCTAGAGACCGATGCGTTAGTGGTGGCCCACCCTGTATATAATGCATTCAAATTCGTTATATGGTTTCATCTTTCAAAGGTTAATTTCTTGACAAGAAAGACATTCCGAGAATTTTATCCAGAGGTGCTCTACAGAGGGTAACTTTTCCTCTCATATTTCTATATCATATCATTCATCCGATTTGAAGAAGAATGTCAATTCTCAATTTCGGAGGATTTTATTTTTTAGTTTTCATGTTCCCCTTTTGAATGTTCATCAGATATAATTCAATGTTCGACGTGGCAAATAGCCAGGAAAGTAGTTGTTTCCTGTTGAATATTCAGAATGATGTGTGCATATACATATTTTTGTCTGAAGGAGAATGCAAATTCTCAATTTCAGAAGATTTTATATTTTATTTTCAAACTCTTATCGTGTGTCTTCAATAGATATAATTCAATGTTCGGCGTGGCATATAGCCAGGAAAGTAGTTGTTTTCTATTGAATAAACTGAAAAAGAATTGATATTCTCATCACATAGAGAATGCGAATTCTCAATGTATTGCTATATACCTATAAATATATATCCATTTTTGTATGTTCATAATTTATCTGAGAATATTCCTTTTCAACACTTTCATACCCAATCAGGGGGTTCAAACTTGAACGATGGAAACTTGTGATTTTTATAGACCTCTAATCGCAGATTCGTGATAGAGTCTCAATTCAGAATTTCTTTCCACGCCCTGTATGATGAATGTCAATTTATCATACACCCAAAAGCATAGGTAATTACTCCATAAAGTATTTAGCTGATATATTTTTTGTAAATCTGCAAAATAAGCTATGTTTGTTATGGCAACATATTCAAATTATATATTTTTTTCTGAATACAATGATGTATGACACGTTGACTTTTGGACAAAATTAGTTGATAAAAAATAAATTGTCGATTGACAAGAAATAAATATTTTCATAAAATTTTGAGATGTACCATAGAATGTGGCAGTAAATATCACTGAAATAAGTGTTTTATTTGTCAGATATTTCGAGTGTGCTGTGGAAAAATCTTAAATATTCAAACTCGTCATCGTTATGTTGAACACCCAATTCACACATACTGATTGCTCCATAACATATAATATATAAATGTCATCTTGAATTGAAGTCATGGAGCAATCAGCAGGTGTGAATTGTGTGTTCAAAAAGATGATAATTAGTTGACAATTTTTTTTCAGAGCACACTTCACAATCATATGCGGTGTCGAAATATCTGACAAATTCAACACTGACGTTGACTTCAGTGGCATTAACTGACACATTCATCAATGATGCTTCTCAAAATCTTATGGAAATATCTATTAACTGTCAACTGAGCATTATTTTTGTTATTTCAACTAATTTTGTGCAAAAGTCAACTTGTCATGCATTGATCATTGTATTCAGAAAAAAGTTGACAGTGGCTGATGTTACAGTTGAACTTTGAAAAAATTTGATCAGAGACTACTAGTAGTATATGATGATATAGTATTTTCATTTGATTTTTGTTTTTCAAAATCGAATGGTTAATACCTGCACTATGGGACTATGGCTAGGGGTGTGTTTTGTCAGTCAGTCTGCCTAATTCACATAAAGATACACAATGTATTACGTATTTCGTCAGAAAAAATTTAATGAATTCTTCCAAAAATCCGAAATAAGACAGTTTCAACCGCTTCACATGTGAAAATCCATATGGACATTCATTGGACTTCAACTTCGAGAGAATGTAATACTAAAAAATATCGAAAACAATCTGATGATAATGCAATTGAAATTAGGAATAGCGAGAATAAAACAGTGCGCTGACACATACAATACGATGACATGAACTCTATTAAAGCTGAAATGAACAAGTTACCTATACATTCAGACTGAAAATATACCTATGAAATATACTAACGGCAATGAACTTGCAGACAACACTACGACAATCCTACTCTTGACACAGTGAAAAGCAGAATGGAAATTGAAAAAAATTATTCCGCACCCAAAACCTATGAAAAAAGGATTACTTGAAGAACGGCTTTGGGTCGATATTCAAATCGATTCCAGGAAATCTGAATATCAAAGACGATGTCTTATATAAATCAGCTCCAAAAATAACTACACCAAGCATTGAGAAGCAAAATTCTCTATCCATCGATATAATAGAAGAATGTAATGCGACATGCTCATTCCATCTGATTGTAGGAAGTAATAATGACCCATTTATTTTGTTGCAGGATATCGAAAACTCGCTATATCGCTTATCGCAATTGAAAATTTAACGTAGTACACCCATGCATAATAACATGTTAACACTAATCAACTTCGGAAATTACAACAAATAATTAATCCACATCAATTTCCATTTGAATTGACATTAGAAAATACCTTGAACTCTGAAAATGAAAATATTAACAACAAATCCTACTCTTGACATTCTATATAACAAACTCATAACATAATTACCTTCCTAGTTATAATTCCAATCATGTATCCGTACATTCTCTGTTCCTAGTCTAAATTAGTTGAATACAATAATACCAAAAAGGAAGTACTCTTTATTATTATTGTTACATTTGAAATATCTACTTATGTGGTTGTGAGTTTACCGATTCGAGATTTCTTGGCATGGATCTATAGGGAATTTAATATAGAATACGAATATTCAGAAAAATATACAGGGTGTCGCGTACGGTTAAATAGGGAATGTAATTCATTCAGTCATATGAATTTATTAGGTATCTGAAATTATAATGATAATATCTAACTTCATTGAATATTCTCAAGCAAAACAATAACCATTTTTCACACCAGTGAATAACCATTATTCACTGGTCTAGAGTTCCTAGGGTACGCAATATAACATATAATAGCGTTCATTATATGTATGTTTGTCGAGTAATATACTGAAATTATTGATGGCAAACAAAAAAAACATTCATTTTAGAGAAATGTTTCAAATTTCTGTTTTCCTGAAGTTTTATTTATATTTTATTCAAATACCTTTCTCCAAATTTTATATTTGCAATTTATTCTAGTACAGCTGCAAAGACACTGGCGTACTGAGCATCTATGTTATGCACCCATTTTGGAACTGGCTAGTTCAGGTAAGAACTTCTTAATCCACAGTATGACTCGGATTTCAATGTAATCTTTTGATTCCAGTTCTTTCCAAGATCTATAGCACCCAATCTCCTGACGTTCACTGGATTCCTTTTTACTGTGGTGATATATCTGCTTTTTGCTGTGCTCGACTACAATTTCTATTCTTCTGATATAGATCACCCAGAAGTAAATCCTCTACCAAAATGGACATTCATGACTGCAGGAATTTTTTTGTTCATCGCTTATACTCTAGGTTAGTAATGAGATATTCATGTTCTTATGTTCAGAGTTTCAGAATTACCCTGTATTATTGTTGAGTGGAAATATCATTTGCATATATTGCATTTATTGCATGAACAACTTAACTCAGTCCTAAAACTTGAGGATGATGGGTGAAATCCGTTCTTCTTAGCAGTTTTCGAATTCTTCAATAACCTTTTCAAATTTGTAAGTTAGGACTAAGTTAAGTGATGAATTTTCAGATGGAATAGATGGCAAACAAGCTCGCAGAACAGGAACAAGTGGCCCCCTAGGAGAGTTATTTGACCACGGTCTTGACTCGTACACAACTGGCCTTATACCAGTAGCATTGTATTCAATTTTCGGAAGGGGACTTACCTACAGTATCCCCCCCTATAGAATGTTTTTCATCATGTGGAATGTGATGATGAACTTTTACTTATCACATTTCGAAAAATATAACACTGGAGTGCTGTTTTTACCTTGGGCATATGATTTTTCTATGTGGGGTATCATACTCTATTTTCTTACGGCAGGGGTAAGTTTATAGAAACTTAACAGATAATATGAGTCATGTACTTGGTCATAAGTTAGACAGTAAATGACAGAATAAGTCAAGTGGTAGAGAACGTTCTTATTGAGGTTGTCCTTCAAATAATTTAAATGTTTTCCTTTGTTGTTAGTTGAAAGTGTTGCAGATATCTAAATTCCATAGAACTTTCTCATGGCCACTTGAGGGTTTTGCATAGGAACAAAAAAAACATCTTTCAACTCTCTAAAGTAGTAAACTTTATAAGAATGAATTACTGAATATCAGTCTAACCAGGTCTATGCATTGATCATCATGTCTTTAATATGTGAATTACCAGACATATTTTTATATTTTTGAGACTTTCATTGTTTTTTCTTGTTTTAGTATGGTGGGTATGAGATTTGGCAATTTCGCTTTGGCGACATAACCACTGGCCATATTGTTGAAGTGATACTTCTCATTTCATCCCTTTTATCAAATGTACCTATTGTAACAAAGAACATTTATCTATCATACAAAAACAAATCAGGGAAAATGAGAAAATTCTCAGATGCCATAAGACCTCTGCTGTCAGTAGGAATATTTTTCATATTGACGCTGGTGTGGATCAGCTATTCACCAACTAATATCTTGGATAGGGAGCCCAGAGCCTTCTTCTTACTTTTAGGGACAGTATTCTCTAATATATCTGTAAGTATAATAATCATTTTGTGGATGACGTCATTGAACTAATTTCTCTGAAATTTCAGTGTCGTTTAATAGTCGCTCAGATGAGCAACACCACTTGTGAAGTTTTCAATCTATTGATGATTCCAGTTTTATTAGTGGTGATCATTACTGTTATATTGCAGTGGGCCAGTTTGGAATTGTTCCTTTTATATTGTTTGTGTATCTTCACTACTGTAGCTCATATACATTATGGAACTTGTGTGGTAAGTCGGTAAATCTATGTTTTTTTGTTTATAAATATTAATTTTTTCATTCTACACCAATGGGGTGCGTTTGATTATTAACTCTCAGAGTAGAGTAAACTCAGTTGAAGGTTGAATCAGTTTACTCTGAGTTGATTACTATTTCTTGTGATATTCGAACGGAATTTTGAGTTAGTTTATTGACATCTGAGATTGACATAAATATGTTTGTCAAGTTGACAGGTTTAGTTCAGTCAGTTCAAGTTCAATAACGGGCGAGTGGAGTTATAATGAATTATTGGCATTCAATTGCTTTACTGTGTCGTTACGAACCTAAATTAATTTTTGCAACACTTATCACGTTCTTTTTACGTTAATAATGTGTCTATGCGTTGTTCGAAATTGTTGAATTTCAGAGCTCATATCAAACGAACCGTCAGGGTCGCCATTTGGCGATACGTCGAATAAATGGTGGCGTCAATTTTTATGCTGTTTAGTTATTAGTTAGATAATCTTCCATTTCCACTTATGAAGCAAGGTTGTCAGGTCACCAATTATAATCAAGTTATCAAAGAGATGTTGGGGTCCTGTCGTTGAATCAAACATAACAGGAGGAACCCATGATATTATAGTTCATGCTTGACTTTTTCGAGCAACCAACATGTCGAAATATTTCTTATTCTCCATAACAAAATATCATGTAAATGTTGGAGACTTGGCAACATTGTGCTGAATGCTGAGAACTGACCAGACCACGCTCGAGACCACGGCCACAATTCATGCGCTGTTGTCACGTTCACCGATTCAAATGTCCTCTAGTGTGAACTGATATAATTATTATTTACACAAATTTGTTATAGGCAATAAACCACAAATCATAAGGGAACATTTTGAGACAATAGAATTTTTATAGCTAATTAGGAATATTACCAATACTTGATTGTGAATTTATAAATTACTGAATAACTATTATTTCTGAAGTTCCCAATCCCAATATTTTAACACATGACAACTGTGCTATGGTCTGCCCCTACTCACGAAATCGTGGGGTCAGTTTTTACTGGAGGTAAATTTCTATCCGATTGAAAATTACCGTGGCATTATTGATGATTTTAGCACCTAAAAATCGACCGGAAAATTCTAAGAAAAGTCGAAATCGAAAAGTATTTGAGTGATGATACTCTGAGAAATTAAATAGTAATTTTCCTAACAAGTGCGGAAAGTGATTCTTTCCCGCACGTGACTGCCGTTGACACGAACGACGCGAAGCGGAGTTCGGGCAAGCAGTCGAGTGCGGGAAAGAAACTTTCCTCATGAGTTAGGAACAATATTTTTTCTACAAGCGTAGGAAATTGATTGAATCGTTCAATTAATTATTCAAGCAAATAGGAACAACTAACAAGAGATATATTCTCTATCTATTATAAGTAATAGCTATTGTGAACTTACAGTTTGACGCATTATGTTGGTTCATTGCGGAAGCCAGCAGGCCCATTAGGATCTTGGTCTCTAGGTTCCAGACACTTCGATGAAATGAGCCAAAAATACCTATTCTTCATTCGGTTTTTTAATTTTTTTATTGTTGCACCATTCAATAAAACGCGTGTATAGCTTCTCATACCTTTCTTAAGACTTCGTTGGTGATAACGCATCTGTATCAAATCCCTATAGCTAGAAGTTTTTGATCACATTGTGGCATTTCCACTGAATCGAAAATGACAGTAACGCTGTGTCTGTCACTTCGACAATTTCAAACTTATTTGAGGTTTGATTGGCATGACAAATTGACGTTTCCCGTCAGATCAATCCAAATCTATAGGGGGATTTTTATAATAATCAATTTTTATTTCTCAATATTTCTTAATTTTTACAATAAATAGTGCAATTTGATGGATGATTCTGAACATACATACTTAATACTGCAACAAACAAACTCAAACTTTTATATTCCATCACCAACCACTTACATTACTAGTGATTTTATCATATCTTTGTTTTCCTGCACTAGTGCGGGAAAAAATTTCCCGCACTAGTGTGGGAAAATTTTCCCGCACTGTTGCGGGAAAATGACACTTCCCAAAATAAATTGCGTGCGGGTATAGGGTGAATCACGCACGCTTGTAGAAAAAAAAATATCCACTCGCCTACTGTTTTTCGCGATTTTCTCGATTGCTTTTTACAACCGAGAAACATATCAATTCAAATTGAAAGATACTATGATTCTATACATAAAAAGTTTTATTACATTTCCGAACAGTGAATATCTCTGACGATGATCCCATTCGATCGCTCTCTCGCTCCTGCGAATTACAGAATTATACAGGGTCATTCCGTATATTCAAACAGGTTCTAAAGGGTTCATCAGTGAAGATAGAAAAAAAAATCTCAAAATACAAAAGTTGTAGGGTTTCTTCTGAACCTCCAGAACATTGTGCGAGGTGAAACAAATGAATATCGTTGATATAAGAAATGGGTATAGTATATCCAATATCAATTGCAAAATATTCCGCACTGTGCGGCGTCGGCGTGTTTGAGTTCCCTTTGAAGTGACTACAGGTGCGGCACGAGACTCTGCAATTGTACTTGGATGAACTATACCAACTATGTTATTCTTTCGAAAAAATTGAAGATTTTTTTTCTTTTCAAAATATATAGGTTGTTGATATTCGGTTCTGCCGTTTTCAAAATATTCGAGGTTGAACATTTCTTAGTTACAATTTGGTTTTACCAAAATGAAGAAAAAGTCTTGTTTGATCCCAACAATATGCCTTTATACACCCTATTTTTTAACAATATCAATGGACTATTTCGATTTGTGAAACAGAAATTGAAATTTTAGGTAAGACAGATGTGCCGGCACTTCAGGGTTAACTGTTTCACGATAAAGAAACAATCTGAATGATTCCTGTTGAACAACATATTTGATGATGGAAGTGTTGTACCTCGTATCCAGTGGCATTGTTGGGTAACCATGACATTGTTTGTTTTTTAATTTTTGTTCAGGTTATTGTATATTATATTTGGAAGCATTCGTTCCATCGACACTGTTCGTGAGAGTTTTTATTTTCATCATGTCTTTATTTATGTGAGAAGAAAATTTGCATCAGAGAGAGTACAAAATTGTCCCTAGGATAAACAAAAAATGTCTCAGACTTGGGTCAGATAAATTTTATTCAACAGGATTTATACTCCTCATGAATTAATTTGGTTTTAATTTTTTATATCACTACTTCGAAGTTGGTAACTAAACTCCCTAGAAGTCGATACTGAGTATGTACAGGGTGGAGACAACTGGAATCATTCGCTACTGGGGGAGTGAATTCTTCTTTTGAATATTCGCGAGTCACGTCAACGTTTAAATATATTTAGCAACATTTGACGAGTAATATGGAGAATATAATCGTTTAGGGGTAGCTGGAATCAACTCCAACATGTTTTTTTCAAAAGCAGCCCTATAGCTTGCGACCCCTCATTGGAAAACTGGTTGAAAGAGGAATGCAGTGTTTTGATTATATTTCAGTTTGCAGTACGTTTGGGGGTCGCATAAATTCAAAATATGATTTCGAAGTTTGCAATAACACTTCGTTTCAAAATGTGAATATGACAAAAAAAAACTAAACTTCTTTTTGTGGCTCTATAAAAACACTGGAATACAATAGCAGATAGCAGTTGTGGCAAAAAATTGCCATGAATTGTTCAACACACATTTTGAGCGATTGATACGTTAAAGAAAATTTGAATTTTAAAATTATATTTCAATGTTATGCAACCTTTAAACGTATGAAAAACTAAAATTTGGCTAGAACGCTGGATTGGATTTCTTTTTCCACCAGCTTTTAAATGAGGGGTCACAAGTCATAGTGTTACATTTGACAAAATCATGTTGAAGTCGGTTTCAGATACCCCTGGAGGAATATATTCTCGATATTGCTTGCAATAGGTAGGTAAATACATCGAATTGTTGACGTATGGCGGGAGTTTTTTAAAAAAATATTCATCTTTCTGCTAACGAATTTATTCCAGTTAGTCTCCACACTGTATAAAAACAAGTTTTGAACATGACAAGAATGAAAATACCCAGCATATATCCGGGATATCTTCATATTTTATCATACTTTTCTTGAATGAGGACTAATATTTTTATTATCGCCAGTAATTAGGGTTACTGTAGCTTGAGGTCAATGTCAAAATTATTCAAGTTTTGTTGGATAGCCCTGAAGACCAAGGCCAGTTATTCCAAAAATTTAAACAAACCGGTTGTGTGTAGATGCAATGCGAACAAATACAAAAACTAGTTATCTTCGGGCTTGGGTTTTTTACTTCCAATGTTAATCTTTCATATTAATAGAGCAGATATCCTGAAATTGAAATAGAGGCCAAATGAAACGAAAGAAGAAGTATAATATGTCGTGCAAGACCGCGCGATCTGGTGGCCAATGAAAAATGTTAGCCCTCATTGAGTAGAAATTGTCAAGCTTGTTGTAAAGGGGGGCAGGATTCTCCGTTTAAACTTTGAAAATAATTCAGTAAATAATGCATTAGAGAAAAAATATACAATTGAAATTAGTCAAGTGTTCCTTATTTATTCATTCAAAATTGCATATTCTGTACTCTGTTCACATTTGGTTTTTGGTTGTGCTTATTGGCCCCATTCATCAAAACAGATCGCTCAGAAGTATTCACAAGTTATTGGCGTCAGGTGGGACGACGTGTTTTTTTCTTACAGTGGATAGACTTGTTCTAACGTAGTTCAAAAACTAGTCAGCAACTATCGCAGCAAAGTCCATATACGTTTTTAAACACCTGATAGATACTGTCAACTGTTGGAATTGCTCAATTAGTTTTACTCCCCTTGAGAAAAAGAGTCGAATCAAATTTTTCAAGGGATTATAGAAAATGGAGTCTATTGTTTGAACTATATCATATTTCATTTGTATTATTGTGATTATTTGAATTTAAACACAGATGTTTTGTCTACTTTCGAATTGATCGATCATATTATAGTTGAATAATCGTTCAGGTTGTGAAATGTGATATGAATAAGCAGTTTCCAAATCGATGCATTTATGTGAATGAAATGGAAATGAGTGGAAAAATTAATTATTTCGACTTTTTCACCCCGCACCTCGCAAAACTTAAGTTACATACTAATAGGTCTCTTCATATATTCTCTTTTCATTTGCCAGTTTCATCATCGTTGAGCAACTCAAGAAAACCCTAGCTTTCATTTGCGGAATTCACAATAAGTGATCTTATCCGTAAATGTACTAGTAACCTGAGTGTGTGATATTTTTTATTTGTACCTTAATATTTTTATTTTACTAGAAAGAGTCACATCTTGATGGGTGATGAGTAGGTAACTTATTCCCGAAAGTGGTTTATTAATGCGTCTTGTTTTCTTGACATCCTTAGTCAATTGATATAAATAATCATAGAACTAGAACTGTTTGGTCCAGTATAAGTACTATGAATTGCTATGTTTTTGTAGATTCTAAATTTGTCATTTATGTTATTCCAACAATTCAAGGATATCACTAAAGGAATTGATCAATCTTTTGATAGAAAAGACAAAGAAATTATATTCAAAGTATCAACTGTATTGAAAAAAATTTACCATGGTCGAGGTTGGTATCCTGTTGGTATGTACACACATACCAACGAAGTAGGTACATAATTACTCTACTAAAAGTAATCGCCATACTCAGGTATATGAATATTCTAGAAAAACTGTTATTCTTGATCAAGGTTATGTCTTCTCTTGCTTCCAACAACTTAAATTCATTCATTTGATATCCAAATATTTTGTCGTCAAAATCAGACACTATTTTGGGAAATCTTGCCAGTTGTACAAAAATATTGTTCGATTTTTATGGCGAAATCATATTTATGGTGCCTGTACTGTGTAAGTTTTTTGTTTTCAAAGATATATGGCTGATGAATTTTGGGATATATTATGTAAGACATAAACATGCTAAGGTATCACATCTACATTAAACTTCCCGAGTTATCCGGAAATAATTCGTGAATGGGACATGTATATTATAATGGCATTCTGAATGCAACTATGTGCCATTCGTCACCTTTCATTTCATTGCATATTATACCGGGACATAGAGGGTATCGGACCACCACTGTAACTTCTGCATTCGTAAATGGATTTTTCTGAAATTTGGTCGAGTTATATAAGCGACCATTTTGGATTTGATCACATTACAGTCCGTTTTCTCTGGAAATGCCAGCAAGTTTGCTTTTTCGAATAGAACACCCTGTATATTTTACATATTCAAGTTCAACAGATCAAAACACGTGCAATCTCAATGTAAAATGTAATAGTTTTTTGAAAAATTTGAGATGAAATTGTTTTTTCATTTCACCTCGTGGATAAATGAGATGTGGTCTAGGCTACAATGAGTCGCACATAACAGAGAAACATGATTTTTTCTAAAACAATGTTTTTTGTTTCACCTATCGATGAATCCATTCAGTCATATCACATTTTGAGCAGAATTTTTTTTTCAAATGGAACCTCTATGGGTCACCCACATGTCTCTCTAGAACATAAATTGAGGAAATTTTTTTGTATTTCGGTGCAGAAACAAATTGTATACATTCAAAAATCAACAAGTAGCTCATGAATGTCCTTGGAGTTTGAATAATTTTTCAACTAAGGAAGCCAGAAGTTCGGCACCACACAAAAACAGACCTATTCTGAATAACCTTGACCACATCTCATTTATCCACGAGGTAAAATAAAAAACCAATTTCAATTTATAATTTTTCGAAAAACTGACATTTGATATTTGATTGCACTTGTTTTGACCTGTTGAATTTTAATATGTAAAAATATACAGGGTGTTCCATTTGCCATATTGCATTGTAATGAGATCAAACTTGAAATGATTGCTTATACAGGGTGAATCTGAAAGTGAGGTTTTTTATTTGACAGGGTATATGTATATCTCGCCAAAATAAGTTATTTGGCTTTTTGCTTCAGTTCCTTCCCAAAGTTTTTTTGGTTCACTTTAAAACGATAATTAATATGTTGAAAATGTAAAAAGAGGTTTTTAATTAGGTAGTGTTTCTGCAACTGTAGGGTATCTAATGCTGGACTAATAACGGCTTTTTGCGTTTTTTTGAGAAAATGTAAACAAAATGTTTCATAGTTGGTGTCTTCTTTAAACCATTGAATACCTGTGCCTCCGTTATCTTGAATATTTTATGAGCAAAAAATCCGATTACGAAAGCAAAAGTTACAGGGGTGGCCCGATATATCATGTCAACCGGTATAAATTTTTCGAAAACAATTTCGGAATCTGTTAGAGAATTGTTTAGACTGTTTCTTTTGATCACAGATACCAGGAAAAAATATAATTTCATCATGTTAGTTCAAACTCATTCACTCTTTTTTTTTTCAAATAGGAAGGTGGGCTCTTCTAGTTATGGAAAAAGAGCAATAATTCATTACGATTAAGTTACCATTAATCAAACTTGAATAAATGATGATGAAATAAAAAGGAACAACTGGTACATGAGTGTATTCAGAATTTCATTATAATGAATTCATTTCGTGCGCTCCAAGCGATAAAAAAAATGCTTTCCGGGGAGACTTTCAAATAATGCAATTTAATGTCACCTCCATTTTCATTTGTATATCTTCGAAAACAAATGTTTAGGGGTGAATCACCACTCTGTGAGATTCAATTTGCATTATATTTGAGTAACTTGTTTGTCTCAGCTAGTCATTGTTAATGAAAACTCATTCCTATTGAAAGTTCCATTTATTTGAAGTGAAATATGAATGGTTTAAATGTACATTATAACAGATTATCCTTGTTTATGAGTGTGATTATTTGTCAGTCAATATACCGTGAAACAAAATTGCATGTTTTATTTATCTTAAGCTAATAGTGACATTCAGAAGTTTCAAAATGTAACATTGAGATTTTCATGTCTAAAGGAATTTCTGGATAGCTTAGACATTAAATGTACTCAACCCCTTTGTACTCTCTTAATTTTAGGTCGTTAAGAAGAAATAATAACAATGATTTCCAATATACTTTACTGCCGAATGAAAAAGAAACAATTCCGAAATGAACATTCAAGAATGAGTATTTTCTGGTGGAGGTGCCATACAATTTCCAGTAGGGTACCTTTGTCTGAAACTTTCAATTAAAACTGGATCCACCAGTCCTATGCCGTCTACTTGGTTACCAAGAGTTATCCAATTGGGTTGGATATTATGTGGTCTGCCAAACAACTCTATTTTTCTTGTTCCTGGTGACAACCTTTCAATCATCCCATAAATTTCATCAGGTTTGTGACTAGTCGCTCGAACTTCAGCGACAATCACGTCAGAATCCAGCCCCCTATTCAAATTCAGCGGATTCCCTTTCATCCCAACCAGACAATGTTCCTTTCCATGATTCAGCCAATGTCCAGTTCTTCCTGTTCTTATTATCCTTTGTAACTGATTAGTTTTCACCCAAATTATCTCGTCAACCCTTTCATAACCCCAAAGCTTTAAGCACTCCCTTCCCAATTCCATGGCTCTACCTGTCACCCAAAGGAAGATGAGACCGTCGTCTTGTAATTGAGGAATACCAAGTTGTCTCATCTCATCATCGGACATCGTACCATAGGGAAGCTCCATGTGAATGTCCCATGGTGGGTCGGCCATTATCACAGCAAATTTACCTAGGACCGTCATGTCTAGGAACCTTAGATCACATTGCACCCATTGTGGAGGATATAACATAGTGCTTTCAACTCTCACAACTGGTCCACTAGGGGCACTTGGTTTATCAGCAGGGTTTGTACACCTGTCTACTTCATAATGTACATATTTACATGTGTCCATGTGGAAACAAGTGTTTAAAAATGAACAGTCGCCTAGAGTTTCGTCGGTATGTTTTTGGAGTATTTTTTTAAAGTGTAGCTTTTTACAATCAATTATGCCATTCTTTTCGCAGTCTACTCTTGTCCCGTGAGGGCAAAACTCCATGAGTTGTTTACCGCCTTGTGACTTGAATCTTTCTGTCAAAGAACGTTCTTTGGCTGTAGGTTTACTTAGTAAATCGAGAATCTCTTCACCTAGCTTCTTGCTCTCCTTTTCTTTTGTAGATGGCATAGACAACAAAGACTAAAAAATACGATATAGATCGAAATACGGAAATGATAAAAAAATTCATTTGGAAAATGAGGGAATGCTAAATCTAAGTGAGTGAACATGAGCTAAACTTTGCATAATTTGTTTTTGCATATATACTTTTTTAATTGACGGCCATTGTCTACTTGACGTGAACCCATAGTGATTCAAAAAACTATACAAACATTGAGATTTACAAAAAATCTTAAAACATGGCATGTACATTATAATCTGTTCAACAGTACAGTAGGATACAAAATTGTTTCCCGAAATTTCTGACGCTGATAGTACATTGAAAAAAAATACTATTTTCTACAAACGTCAAAAAATGACAAAATATCTTCATTTTGGTGGAATCTGATTGTAGAAAATAGTCTACTCAGCTTTCTAATGAAAGTTATTCAGAAGAAAAATTAGTTTTTGTGAACTTCACATCTGACTGCTTGAAGATCATGTTGGTGCATCTGCGGTACGTTAATACTGAAATGACAATACTTTCAATAGTAGAAGTAGTGTCACGAATAAAAAATGACATATCAATAAAGCACTAAATCAGTAAGTTCTAATCATGTTCAAAATCCGAATAATGATCAAGAAACTCTCATGACAAACTTGCAAACCTATAATACACTGGATGTGAGGGTTCCGAAGTTATCTGGTCTGAGGTCTGGGTCTGGGTCGACTCGTCGTAATTGTAAACAACATAACATTGTTATTTGCTCTTTATATTTATTGTTGTTCATTTATATTTCCCCACTACCCAGAATATCTCATGCTATAATTAATATTGTGATGTTTGAATAGTCTTGTGATTTCAGCTACCCTTAAACTATCTGTGTCCAATTATTTGAATTAAGGTTTGTTATTTTGACATTGTTGTTTTACGACATGTGTGATATGTTATCTCTATTGTAGTAAAATTTGACCAGTTTTTATCCAAGGTGAGCCGTGTAAGCTTTGAAAGTATTTATTGAATGTTTTATTTTTCCTATATATTATTTTTTTCACTAGGAAAATTCCTTGGGTTATTTTCCATCTCAGGAAAAGGTTGAAACTTCATTATTTTATTCTTACAAAGTCATGTCTGTATCGATTTTTAGCACTGGAATGAAATTCCTTCTTCCTCCTGCAATGATCAAACTTCTTTACAAAAGAATGATAAATAATAGTATTGTCCATAAATAAAATAATCTCAAATTTATATATATTGAAAATGTGACAAGTAATGAAATTGACAACGATATGACATATTTCAGAATGAAAACCGGTGCATCAACATAGATTTCAACTAATCAACGATTTGTGGAAATGCTCGTTATTCACGTTTATTCACTATACATTATGCAATTTTATCAAAAGCATATTTTATGACAATTTCATGAGGCAAAGCGTTGGATTGATTGTATGCTCAATAACTGTCCCATTTCGGAATTTTTGCTGTGTATATTTCAAAAGAAACCTGTGGCTGCTAGCTTCCGGCGAATTCAGCAGAGCCATTTTTGGAAAGAATATATTTTCACTGATTTGATATACCGGTATTAAAGGGCTAATTAATTACCCTATTTTTGCTCAACATTTCAAACACTGTACATTATGCATATCTCCAGGCACATCTATCAAGAGCATATTTGATACTATTGCTTTGCCTCATAAAATCATCATAAAATATGCTTTTGATAGAAATGCCTAATGTATAGTAAATAAGGGATAATCGTTTCATTTTTTTTAATGGACCAAAACTTTTTGATTATTATCATCAGATTGAATATTCTAAAATCAGCCATTTAATCCCAAAATCTTTGTTTTAAAAAATGGGTAAGAAATATGGGAATATAGGGTAATGAATTAGCTTAAAATAAGACCTACAATTTCATTATATCAAATCCTTAAAAATTATTATTTTTCAAAAATGGTTTTGCTGAGTTCTGCCTAAGCTAGCAAATTCACAGATTTTTCCATGATAGAGAGGAGAAAAAAATCGGCAATGGGATAATAAATTAGCCTAAAACAGCCTAAAAAGAGCCTTTAATTATGAGATGTATCTCATGTTGAAATTCGTGCTATGCTACCTTATTCAGTTAATAGTTCCAAAGAAGTTTGAGAGCCAAGCTAGCATACTTCATCAACAAATAAATATATGTATTCATCCATAGAACGGCTAGGCTCTGGAATTCATTGCCTGAGGAAGTATTCCCTACATCATATAATCTCCAGAAGTGCAAAAAAAATTCCAATACCTACCTCCTGTCCCTATCCTCCCTAGGAACGCACGATTATAGGGATTTCCTTTCGTGCGCTCCAAGCGATAAAAAAAAATAAAAAAAAAATTGTTCAGAGGCTCATATAGTACCTATCCTCATAGCATAGTTATTAATTACTACTTACATTACTTGTCAAAATCAATGTTTTTTTACAACTTTCTGAGGAAACACTTTGAATAAGAAATTCAATTACTACAAGAGGTATTCAACAAGTGCAAACTTTGTTAACTATAACAAGAAAAAACCTTTATCCTTGTTTTGAAAATATGTGGTGTAAGTACAGGTAGAATAATGGGTACAATATAAATTGGTTTCTTCAATTACAATCACAGAAAAGAGATGATATTTTTGTTAGATATCAAGAGCTATAATTCCATCACAAGCAATACCAGTCAGACAAACTCAATAGACCCAGTCAGCAGATCCTGTCTTTGTCAACCTTAAAATATGTGGAACCCCAAAGCTCATTCCTCTATAGAACACCAAAGCTTTAGAATCCTTTGCCAATGGAAGTATTCCCAAGAACTTATAATCCCCTAAAGTTAAAAAATAATTTCAACACCTACCTCCTCTCCCTATCCTCCCAAGGTACACATGATGTTCTTGGAACACTATAGGAATTTCCTTTAGGGTGCTCCAAGAGATAAAAAAAGTTACTAAAAGTACTGAATTAGTATCATCATTATGCTAATTCAAGTTCAATGTGCAAATTATAACTGTTTTATTCATAGATGTGAAAGAGTATCCAATCCAATGTAGCATGTGTCACTGTGTTCAACTGGATGCCTGCCAAGGTGTTGAGGCAAATGTGTGAAAAAGTATACAGATATTCTGTGGATATTCCATACATAGGTTAGCTCATGCCATCACATTGGAGTTGGAGTTTTATATTTGATAAGATGATCACACTCACCAAAATATCTGCCTTAGGTTCCTTCTTTTCTTTTTTCTTTCTCTCATCCTCCCCTTCACCACTTTTTTCTGGAGAATCCTCTCTCTTTCTTTTCAAAATATCTCTATGACCTTTCAAATTGTTTGGAGAGCCAACTAATATCATGGCATTCACCTTAGAAACTTCTACATGAGTGACTTCCAGTAGACTGTCTCCATCTTTTGAAGAACTGTTTACTGTAATTAATTTTTGTATTGCAAATTTCTCAAGCAAATTGCAAATCTTTCTATGGGTGCTATCTTGGTCTGAAGATATCTGGAGAACACCCAGAAGTTCTGATGAAGATATTGGTAACTGTAGAGTAACCTCACTCAACTGTCTCAATAAACCTTGCTCCAATTCAGGATCCAATTTGACCAATTCATCAGATTCCCCAATTTTCGCTTCATCTTTAACAATTGTTGTGGACTGTGATCCATAAGATTTTGTAGAGATGTCAGTGATATTTGCAGGAGATACTGAACCTGCAAGAAGCAATGTCTATAATGTTTGTCAGCTGATAAATAAATATAGTAGGTAAGCTGTGTAAATAGTGACTCCACTACCTAAACTAGAACCTAATAACTCTTGTCTTTCTTTTCTCCTCTTTTCAAGTCTTTCTCGTAAACTATTACGTTTGCTTTTTATAGCTTGTATTTCTTCCCAGGCATCCGTTGACATGTTAGAAAAGTGAAAAATGCTTATTCCATTTAAAATATTTGCAAAAATCCAAATTTCTGGACCATTTGCTTTTGGTTAGGTTTGTTTTGGTTTCGCCTTCGCCTTGTTCTTCTTCTTATTCTTAAATTAAATCATCAAATGTGACAAGTGTCCCTTGACAGAGACGAACCTAACCGAAGAATTTTTGGCCGGATAGCCCCAGGCCTGATGACGCAGACCTTAGATCATCGCAGACAATGCTTGTTAGAAATTAGGCAACCATCAATATACTTCTGTATTGATTTTACTCAGTTTTACATCAGATGATTTTACAGCCCCGAAATAGGAATGTATTTTCAAAATCTAATAACTGTTTTATAAAATGCATTGAATCGAACTGCTAATGTTCAAGGTGGCACTAAGCGGGATTTTATTCTTTGGTAAGTTTGTATATAAATGAAAGTGCACACTTTATTTTCTCTTTGCATGCCAAAATCATCCATACCTTTATATAGTGGTATGTATTCTCTATCCACGGATGAATAATTCCATGAGATATACCGGGTGTTCCAGAAGAAGTTCCAGATAAAGAATATTAATCATTGGATTGGTATCCAAAACTGAAATCATCATCTCGCGCGGGAAGATAAAATCCCAAGAAATTACGTGAAATCATAATATTCCACATAATATTCCAACAGTTATGCATGGGCGACGTATCAGTCATATAGATCAGAGGGCATCCAAATACATTCAGTATTCAGTTAGTTCCGAAAACTGCCATGCATATGTGATGTATATATTTCAACGCCTAATATCTCAATAACTAACCCGTTTTAGAGCATTATGTTTAGAGGACGAAAACCATTTTTTCATCGAGTTCTATCTATTTCTTGAGTTTTGGTCATCTAAAATAATTATGTTACCTACCATACCCTCTATAGGTAAGCCATATATATGGTGATGTTGTCCTCCACTTTTTGTGGTGTGCCATTCAGCATATAAACAAGTTGATATATGATATATAATATGATCAATATAACGTGTACTTACACCTAATTTCAAGACTATCATATCACGTTGATTTCCCAATTTTTTTCGCAACTTCGATGCGGTCTGCCGGCACTTTAACCCCCGGAAAATGGTCTGCCAATTGTCAATCTATCTTTCTGACGTCACTTACTACATGTACACGAATTTTCATGACTGTCATATATATAGTTACGTCGATAACCTTCGAAATTCTGCAACTTTTCCCGCTCGCCCCCACATATCAGACCGACCAGGCAAACTCATCACGCCTTCACATCATAAATGGAACCATTCCAGAAGAGTCCGAGTCACGTTGAAACCAGATAGAAACTCGCATGTAGCCAGAAATTGGTGGCTTTAAAAAAAAACGATGTCGGTCGGAAATTATTAGTTATATCCAGCGTACATTGATATTGTACGGCAAATACTATTCAAATATACCTATAATAGCTAGATAGGTATACTCACTTATATTGTTTGTAAATATATAAAAATTATTTTTTATACGAAAAGCTCGTTATTATGGAGGCCTCTTCCTCAATCATAGTGATTGCCAAGGTGATAGAGTCTGCTATTCGATCCTGTTGAAATTGACACATGACCACGATACCCAGCGAGCAGAAATACATCTCAGAGATGTTAAAAGTACGAGATGTTGAGACATAGAACCTCCACTGCGATGTTCTGTTCATACAGGAATAGAACTTTCATAGAACAGCCAATGTCCGCCGCAGGCGGCGTTTATAAAGATATCCTTGGGATGTCACAAAAATACATTTTCCCTGGTTTTTTTAATAGACTTTTTATGGACATAACTTAACCTTTCCCAAGCGTTTTGCGCACATTCATTCGCTTCAAATAAAACATTCCTGGTGGATATATATTTAAGAAGAAAAGAATAAAATTTAAAAAAAACTTTCTGCTGGGGATTCGAACTCTGAGCCACTGAGCCATGGGAACCGTATTGATAAATGGTAAGAATAGAAAGATGTCAACATGCACTTAGTAAGATAATAATTATTAGCATTGAGGCTGAGAATAAGGGTGAGTCAGGAGAAACATTATAAATATTGATACAATAATGTTCATGGAATATTTGTTGCCAGGAAGAACATATTATTCTATGATCATTCTGAGCAGAACAGAACACGTTGTCAGAATATTATTCGTAAAGTATATTCTGGTGCTGTTTGGGATACTATTACGAATTATGGAGGTCGTTGGTATTATAACTAATACCTAATGGAATGAATAAAAAAGACACTGCAAATGCGAATGCGAACAAGAACAACATGCAAAACCGGAAAAAAAATTAGAATTCATCGTATTGTGACGTGAGCATGAGAATTTGTGGTGGGGCAAACAAAGAAATGGCTCAGAAGAACAAAAACAATAATTTCAATATCCTTCAAAGACCTCTTTGGGAAATTATATTACGTCTCAAAAAAAACATCCGCTTTTGCCAATATTTTTAAAAGATCCCAAAACACCCCAGGGATATAGGTACCTCTCAGTAGGTACACAAAGAAATGCCACAGAAGAACAAAAACAATACTTAAATATCCTACGAAGACCTCTTTGGGAAGTTATGTTTCGTCTCAAAAATACATTCTCATGCCAACATTTTCAAAACATCACAAAACATCCCAGGGATGTTTGTGCTCGCTGGGTATGAGGTGCCCCCCCCCTCCCCGATTGTATGAAGCTCACTGCTCAGAAGTTGATCATCATTGTGGCTATTAATTGTTCCTCAGGAATATTTCTGGTCGTATCTCCAGCTTCATCAAAATGGATATTGGAACTGGGTGATAATTTCATTGATGTACGTAAAGATGGGGAAGGATATTGGCTGGTTCTGTTTTATACCCCTTGGTGTGGCCAATGCAGTAGACTGGAACCAATATGGGCACATGTAGTGCAAGCACTCAAGAACACGCACATACGTGTTGGCAGAGTTGATTGCACCACTTTTCCAAATGTCCCGAAGGCATTCAACGTGATTACATACCCAACAATCAAACTGTGAGTTATTCTGCAAGATTTTCTGCATGTTCATTATATTTCGATGTCGTCGTCATGGCGGATGATTGCTCAAAATCGTGTCGTGTCTCAAAATATTGTCTATCCTATGGTGCGAAGGGAACAATAAGCGACAATAATGTTCCTCGATTTATTTGATTATGTTGGTTATACGTCCTTTACAATTTCGATTTCTAGGTCAGCGCCGTAATAAGCGGCACTTTCCTATACCGAGCCTATATCGAGAGCATGAGTTTTCAAAACCTTATTTAATGAGATGAGAGATGAGTGACAATAATTTGAATAAATATGGTACCAACCTGTAGGACAGCAATGAATAGCAAAAATGATTCAATATTTTGTCAGAAATCTCTTGATTCTTCTTGAATGTCTCTGTGAGTTTCGGTTTCTGCTTAGTCGCTTACGCGCCTCTAATTTCATTTTAAATTCTTATATACTCACCTTTTTGTCGTGTAGGTACCTCTGATTTATTTTTTTGCTTTCAATATTTTTAAGAAATCTTCAACCGTTTCCGAGACGATAACAATAATAGTTCTTGTTGAATTTATTCTGTTAAAGTTGGGAAATCTCAACATTTTCAAATTATACTTACTTGTGGTCAAGTAGTTCCTAATGTTTAGTTGTGTTGGCAACACCGTTAAAAGACATGTCTGTCAGAATTGTCTATATGTCAATGTCAAGTGTCTTCAGTCAGGGAGTTACCGCCAAAAATGGTAGAGGCTGCAAGCCATCAGATATTATAATGGAGATGTGCTTCTGATTTACTTTGGATTATTAAAAGTATTAAAACACTAAGCATGTGGTTTTAATGATACAGGAGACATGTAACAGTCTGTATTTTTTTTTATTTGGAACGATAAAAATTTGAAATTCACAAGGGTTATATTATCGATGATGGCGCTTTTTTTTTCAAATGGCATCCTGTATATTTTTGTAGCCTATCTCATTCGCCTTGAAAGTCTCTATTCAACTATGTATCATAATTTGATATTCGTTCATTGATTGCCTATTGAATTGCATTTTATTGAAATACATGAAGTTGGCTGTGGCCCGAATACAATGACATATTTCGATGCTTGATAGGCTTAGAAATCCAAAGATTATTACTTAGACGATATTATCAGTATATTTCCCATACCCTAATCGGTCCCAGAAAATTGCCAATGATTTCATTGAGTTTAAAAAAATCATCCGAAAATAACTCACGATATATTGAGAAAACTAAGATAGAAACTCAGATTTTTTTCATTTGGCTACTTATGAAGAAACTATTTGTCTTTCATTTTTGCTATGCAGCCATAATATTTCAATCCATTTGGATACATGAAACTGGAATTGTTGTTATAATGTATGAATCGTCCGTCCTAATACATCTGTTCATAAGTCTACATTAGTGTATTTTCAGTATCATTTCGCTTATCGAATCCTGATATATCTTTTTTTCATAAATAAAACTGATGACGTATTTAGTGGATTATTCATGCAAAAATTGTTGAATATAGTTTAACTATATGAAAATAAAACCTATTTTTCGCCTCCTGCAAAATTTATCAAATGTCGCTTATACCCTTTCGTCAAGACGACTTCGATTGAATTGTTGCCCTTTCCACAGGTTCAAAGTAGATGATGAATTCACATTTGAAGGAGACAAAAATACAGACGAAATTGTTAACTTTGCAATAAGAATGTCAGGACCTTCAGTACAACATGTCACCCGTTCAGAGAGTTTGACCAATATAAAAAATATGAATCAACTATTTTTTATGTATGTGGGAGATAAGGACGGGTTGCTGTGGGATACATTTTCTGATGTAGCCTCAAAGATGCAGGCACATGCATTTTATTATTCTACAAGCGTGGATATTGCTAAGAGGCATATTGATATTCATTCATTGCCTGCAGTTTTTGTCCATAAAGAAAACTCGCATTTCTTCTACCCAGGTATGACAATCAATATTATTAGTGTGAATGAACAAGGGGTACAAGCCATAAGCCGCTACCATTCTGATGAGATTTGGAAATGTTCTATAAAGAGAACTGTTTGACTCTTTTGTAATTTCTTATACATTTCGACTGCCTCAAACAGTTTTTAATATATTTTCAGTCCCTGAATGTCCCTTCAATTATGAATATCGATTTTTTTTTAAATTTCAAGAGCCCCGCGATTGGAAGAATTTATTTTTATTTTCTTTTTAGGTAAAAAACAGATTGCACCATCTATTTTCTCTAAACGGTTTTGAAATTTTTGAATTTGTCACATTCTTTACAGAAATGTAAGTATTTTTGGGCGTGTACACCTTAGTAGAACTTTTAACTCAAACCATGTTTATAATGATCCTCTCATACATAAATAATGATTGACGACATAATTCGATCGAAAAATTAACTGGAATGTTTTGTTTTTGGACATAAATAATAGTACCATCTGACCTATTTTGACTCCTAATATAATTTTCCGGAAATTGGGGTGGTTCCATGGCTGTTGGCGAGCAGTGTATTTCACTTAAGATGACCCCACTTGGTCATAGAGTGCATTTTTGGTATATCTCTCGCTCCAGCAAATTTCAGGATCCTTACCCAACGAGAACGTAAGATACAGGGGTGTTTCCATTAGAAGTGGGTCACACTGTATGTGACTCTCACATTTTCCATTCTTTTGAATGTCATCATAATATTAGTTCTTCGTCTTTGGCTTGAAACTATCTTCAAAACATGTCACACAAAGTCAGAACGAAGTTTCGGATATCCTGTTCTTTCAACAATTACAGTGATTTGATCTCGTAACAAATTCTGTAGCAACTTCACTTGGTGAGGACACCTTCATCCTCTATATACATATGGTTTCATCGCCAGAAAACATCTCAATCGATTTCCTCAAATGAGGAAACTTCGAACTTTTTTTGCCCGGCAGAACACGTTCTAAATATTTTTTTTATTTTGTGACAATTTTTGATGACCACCCTGTATCAATGACCATGTTGATCACGCATCATTTCAAGATTTTTGACCAATATTTGAACCAGAATAACAAGAACACACAGCCAATAGAAATCAGAGCATCAAATTATACATTCTCTTATGAATATATTTGTATTTCTGTGATGGGTGCAACAATTCCAAAAATTCCAAAACTGAGAAAACAGGTGACGGTGCGATATGTTTGCCCCTCAAATAAAATTTGAATGAAAATCTAATTCAAACATATATGTATATTCATGAATAGGAGAATATATTTTTACCGGGTTGCCTATCGCAATATGACCGCAAGTATTTTTAATTAAAATAATATTAATTGATCATTAGAAGGATCACGTTGTTTTGAAGTGCGTAATACACAATATACTTTTTATTGTTGTCAATGTGAAGCATATTTGAGAAAATGAAGAAGTGCCTTAATTCTGTGTCATAAAAAGGCTATAGGCTACAATGTGCCCGACTTCAATGATGCATCATTCAAAAATGATGAGATGAGATAATTGTTAAGGTTATTATATTTATTCTTATTCGTCGCATAATATTGTATATTAAAAATGTATTTTTGTTAGTTACACTTCGAGATCATAAATATGGAATTCATAGCTAATAATTTAAAATGGTTGGACATTTGTTAGTGATATTATTTGACTTTACATGATTATATGGCACTTCTGTCAGATCGATGATTAAAACGTTAACCCTTCAGACTTCACCTTTCTCAGATCGTTATTATGTGGTAACATCATTAAAAAATGCGCGTTTTTAAAAGTTGGATTCAAACATGCTGATGCGTTCTTTAAATGAGCAATAATTATTTTTTTTTCAATTGCATTTCTTCGTTGGACTGGATCCAGCAATATTTAAAACTTGAATTAATTTAAAACTGAATTCAATAAAATAAAACTATGAAATATAATATGGTTGTTCCTCAATAAAGAATTAAAATATTAAAACTAAGAAAGATGGCCAACACTCAACTAAGAAATAAAATTTCTTCCATAATTCAGCGCATGCGCCAAATAATAACTAGCCGTGCCGAAAAATGATTCAACAGCTGATGAAAGGTTATTGCATGAACGCCCAGATATTTTTCATTTAATATTCGTTTAAATCTTAAATTCATTATAATTTAGTTGAGCATAAATCCACCTTAAGTATCCCAAGTTTCATTCATCGCCATCGCCATTCGCGATAGAAAATGCCACGTCACCCCACCTGAAGGCAGCCACTTGAATACTTCTGAGCGGTTTGCTTTGATGATGTGACCAATAAGCAAAAAACAAAAAACAAATGTGAACCAATGAAAACACAGTAATCATGCCGCTTTAACGGTTTTCAAAAACTCCGATAGGTGGCGTACGCTTATTTTCTATCGCTAATAGGTTGAGACCCTATAGCTTCCGACGCATGCGCAATGACTTACGAGCGATGTTACGCACTTAACTCTCTTTCAGTCTTCTTTAGCACCTGGTAACCCCTATTTGCGGCTATATTTGCATTAGCAGAGTTATTAAATGATGCACATCAAAAAATAGCTTTCATTTCATATAAAAATTATCAATAAACGCCATGAACGTATAAATGTAACAAAATGATAACTGCTTACACCTGGCTGCGAAGAGGTTGCAACATTCACCAACACTTTTCAAGTTCTTCACATACATAGCATAGCTGTAAAGTCGAATATATTTCATTTAAAAAACAAATGGATTCATTTTTTTTTGGACAATCAATTATTATTTTAATTCAAAATACTTGCCAATACATTTCGATATTCAACCCGGTAAAAATATATCCTGCTATTCATGAATATATGTTGAAATTAGATTTAGACTTAGTAATCTCTTGCAGTAGGATCTCAGACTATTCCTATGAATGTGAATGAATAAGTAGAGGTATGTGAAAAAAATTAGGAGGTGATTCCTTATTGTTACTAATGATTTATGAATATACATCAGGTTGTCCCGAAAAGGTCTTTACAAAACGACTATACAGGGTGTTCCGAAACTATTGTGCCAAAATTCAAGGGTTGGTAGATCTCGCCAAAACAAACGTTTTTTACTTATTAACCCATAGGCGCATGCGTTCAGTGATAATAGCGCATTAAGGTCCGCGCAGAGTGGTATCCCCTCGGACACGGGGAAACGTGTTTGTACGGGAAACCGTGTTAGTAAATGACATTGAATCACAAGCAATATTTGGGAGAGTTTATTAAAAAAAAATTCTACAATTTACACACATTGCCACGACGCAATAATTAATGAGAAGCCTACGCAATACGAGTGTCCAGAGCGCAGCGATTGGTCGCGATCGTCAAAATCGGTAGAGCTGAGCACTCAATAGCGATATTATTTATTTATGTATGTACATACGTCAAAATCGGTAGAGCTGGGCACTCAATATCGATATTATTTGAGTATGCACATATGTTAAACTTCTTTCTTGTGATACCTATTGGTACCGAAATAAGGTGCATGCGCCTATGGGTTGATAAGTAAAAAACGTTTGTTTTGGCGAGATCTACCCACCCTTACATTTTGGCACAATAGTTTCGGAACACCCTGTATATAAAAATAATTCGATACAAGCAAACTTACCTCAGTACAAAGTTGCTTAGTTTGGATGCTAGACGGCACTGAAGTAAAAATTTTCGAATCGTTGTTCCTTGATAACTTTTAATGGGATCCGGCCACTTCGCCGAATGGACAAGAGTCGCCAAATTTTCGGTCAAACCGCCGAAACAGATCGGTGGACACTTTCCCGAAAGTGGTCATTATGCCGAAAAACGGCAGTGGACACAGCTATTTGGACACTTCGCAGAAAGTGGTCAAACTCCGAAACAGCTTTTCGGACACTTCGCCGAAAATGGTCATCATGCCGGGACAGCTGTTCGGACATTTCGCTCGTACTCAAGAAATGAAAACAAATAACTCCTCGTGACTGAACCTATTGAGAAACAAAATAAGATTTTCCAAAACGCTTTTATTCAGTATACCTATACGTATACATATATATTATGTTTATCTTTCACCACTTTCGGGGAATGCCTAAATAACTGTTTCAGTGTTTTGACCAATTTCGGCGAAATGTCCAAATAGCTGTTTCAGCGGCATGACCACTTTTGGCAACTTGTCCACTTCTCTACTGGCGTTTTTCGGCCTAATGGGCACCGATCTCTTTCGGCGTTTTGACAAAAAATTCGGTGACTTGTCCATTCGGCTAAGTGTAATGGATCCCATTGAAACGTCTCATGAGATTTCACTGAGATTTCGAACGTTGACATTTCTTTATTTGATTGTTGATCTGAAAAATATGTCAATAAGTTTTTGTAATGACCTTCTAGGGTTATAACCTTTCCGTTTTTTTTTTCACAAAGATCAAATTATACCATACTCATCACATCAACTACCTATATACAGTGTGTCCAAGATAAGGATATCTATCATGGAATAAAGTTGATGATGGTTTCTCTGTAACGAAACATCGTACGGAAGATCTCTCGATGTTTTGTAGAGCTTGAAAAGTAGAAATGAGGTGTCTTTTGTTTTTCTATATCTCTTTAAATAACGTCAGAAAAAAATAAAAACGATCCCCAGGATAGACATCGTTATCTTGGACACAAATTGTATACATGAATTTGATTTTGATTAAGGAATAATTATTGATTTTATTATAGTGGGTGAAGGTAATTTTATAGAAGAGAGTGAAAATCTGAATGCTTCCATCCATGAATGGATCAATCATGAAAGGTTCGAAACATTTCAAAAAATCACAGAAGGGAATTTCAATGAGATACTCCGAACCAAGAAATACATAGTATTAGTAGTTGTAGAAGAAAACAAATTGTTCCAAGTACCGAAAGAAATGCTCGAATTTCGAAATATAGTGGAGAGCTTGATAAGGAAAAAGAAAGAAAAATACCATAAATACTTTCAGTTTGGTTGGACTAGCAGTCACGAATTGGCTAACAGCATTGCCATGGAAATTCTTTCATTACCATATTTGTTAGTGCTGAATTCTACAACAATGCACCACCATGTTCCTGAAGATGACCCAACCGAAATGACTGTTGATGCTATTGATATGTTTCTAGAGAAGATTTATAATCAGACAGCCCCTGTAAGTACAAAAATAAAATTTAAATTGAATACAAATTCTATATTCCCCACCAGCAGTATTGAGGATGATTATGTAAGTGTCTATGGCGGGCAATATTGGATTTCAGGTATTTCCCAGCAAAAATTTTGATATGGGGCGTTGATGGCCTAATATATTTTCCCCATACCTGACATCAGCGGCCCAGTAAATGGTCCCATATGCGGGATATCAGTACACTGCGGCTGGTCCCAGAATGCTGGGTACCCAGCAATCATATTCAGTTTCCTGGCAAAAGGCCAGTACCACATAACCGACACATTGAGTTTTCCAAAGCAAGCCCAGCATATACATAACTGATGGAACTGTAATGGCCAATTATCGACATGGGTTACATACTCTCGAGGTAGGGGAAGCGGTAGGGGTTTTAGGGGTCCAATGGATCTGAAAGTTCTCGAAAATCAATATTTTTAATGTAACCCTCTCATCATATTAAATCAAACAGACCCATACCAGATTTCAAGGAAACAATTTTATAAATGACAATGATATCTTCTTAACCTCAATATAGTCTGATAACGTGATAACATAATATGGAGCTTTTCAATTCCCATTATTATGCTCAATAAGAGAGACAGATTTACATAACCTAAGATTAATTTTGATTGCAACGAACGAGTGGAAAATGATAGTTATGCTTCTGGAGATGTGGAACCATCAACCACATGATCATTATAGGTATAGAGTATAGAGAGGTTCTGAGATACCAAAACACATGCATTTCATAATACTTATAGGTACTCAATAATCATCTATATTATCAATTGAGAATACGCCGATATTCAGCAGTTCAAGTTTTAACATCACGCATTTTTCCATCGGGCCCTGGAGGGACAGCATTTTTCTTCCCAATTTCCAGGCATACCTTGGCATGTTGTCATGGACTAGTATGACCACATCGTTCCCCTGGATTGGTTGTTGTTCTCTTATCCATTTTAGTCTCTTTGATAATATTGGTAAATATTCTGTTACCCAACGTTTCCAGAAATTATCCAATAACATCTGAGTCTCCTTCCACTCTCGACGTAAACAATCTGAATTGGGATCGAGGTATATAATTGAACTACTATCTCCACTCGATGATCCAAGAAGGAAGTGGTTGGGTGTCAGACCCTCAAAATCCATCGGATCACTTGATACTCGTGTCAGGGGCAAGAATTCACGATATACTTAGCTTCAGCAAAGTATAGGTTCTAAGAGTTTCATCTCGAATGGATTAGTCATGCAGATCCTTGGAAATTATTTTTTTGACGATTCCTATCAGCAGTTCCCATACACTACCCATGTATAACCCATATTAATTCGATACTTCAGTCATTTCATCAACTACATCAGCTGACTTGTTCATATCCTGAGACGCTCTCGTTATTTCGTTATTTGTAGCTACAAAATTGTTCCGTTATCGCAATATATTACTCTTGGTTATCCTCTTCTGGCTATCATCCTCAATATACCCATAATGACTGACTCACTGTTCAGACTTTGAGATATCTCTAGATGAATCGCTCGTAGATACTTAGAAAGAAAACCCCATGTTTTCTCTCTACGTCTTCCAATTTTGATATGAACTGTTCCAACATAGTCCATACCAATGTTTACAGTATCACTTCTCGAATCAGTTTTACTTCGGGTAATTGTCTCATCCGTAGTGGTATTGCATATGATCATGGTGGTATTGGTTTGGATCTTCCATTTCTACATTTTTGACATATTATCATGGAGAAAGCTGATTTGACTGCTTCTCGGCCTGACTTCATTCATTCCTCTGTGTCGGTATTTTTCATGGAAACGTTTAACCAAAAGTTTGCTCGGATTTGTTATGAGTAGGATTTGAGACAGATTTTATGGCATTCGACATTGTTTCAATTAGAACCTTGATATCATTCCCTACCTTCTTCTCTGGATAACTTTAGTTTTTCATAAATTTCTTCTGGTTCCTGTATATTGTTTACCCACTCAGCTACAGACTGTTGCCTTTCATTATCTTGGGGTGGTAGGTTAGGCAATGATCCTTCGCTTCTTTTCGAACTGCTATCTAATTCATCTCGAGCTTCTAGTTCTGCTTCTTGTACTTCATGTTCTAACTCTAGAAGTCGAATATTATCATTTTTTTTTCGTTCTAATGAAATCAGTCGTTGGCGTCTTCCTAATTCTTGTTTCTTCTTTTCTTTTTCAAGCGCTAATAGTTTCTTTCATAAACTCAATAATTGCGAGAGCTCACTAGATGCATTCTTTGATCTGATCTTGGAATTTCCTGATTTCTCTCTGCGAGGAGGCCAAACAAAATCTTTTGGGAGATTCTCATTGATGCCTGCACCTGCTCGTCTGATGCCAGTATGTGAGAACTCGCTAACGCACCTTTTTCTTTCCATATCGTGGAGTTTTTAATGACTATCAAAATTATCTTGCAACATATTTTTTTTATCAACATGTACAGGGTATTATTTATTCTAAATGCATTCCAAATTACAAAATCTGTTGAAACTCCAGTATCAACAGATGTATGCGCCGGAGTGTGATAAAATTATGGTTCTCAATTGTTTTTCTGTGCATTTGTTAAACGCAATATCGCAGGTTCAGGATAATAATGAACTTATTGTCATTTGGGCAAGGTGTATCTACGAAAGTGCGACAGCATCAAGGAGATTATAAAAAGATTAATGACAAACGTTTTTGTGACCAGGGCTATAACTGGATAAAGGACCCCGCACGAAAACACGGTAAATTGGCTCTCGGTCGAATTGGCTGAAATTTACCTATGTTATTGTGGGATGGCTCATTAGAAAAATATGTGAGTTTGAAAAGTTTTGTATGTTTAGTTTCTGAGATATAAGCCTACAAAGTCGTAAAAACGTCGTATCGGGGTAGGATTGACGAAGAAAAAAACTGTTTTTTCAGTATAAATAAGACAAAATAAGCTAGAAAATGAATTGATCGGAACTCAAATACATGTATAGTTATGGTCACATGAATTATAGTAAATCAGGGTGAATACGAGGCACGGTCAAAAAATTCATTTTTCGGAAAAAAAAATTCGAGCACTATTCCAAAACCAACAAGTTATATTTTGGTGAGACATCATAGTTTTAGTCTATTGTAGGCTTCGAAAACGTATTTTGATTCTTGATAACTATCTCTGTTCGAAATATGAATTCTTTGAATTGAATTGTGTTATACCCCTTTTTGAAAACAATTGAAAGCTTGTTTTTGATCACAAAGAAAGGGATTGATTGATACTGTTGATTGAATGAAAGCTGATGTGACTCACTAGAGAATTCAGTTGTTCAATATTGCCTTTCGTTTAGATACAGAGTGTGTTAGATTTTGTTGAAGATTATTTAACATGTTTCAATTGAATATCTCGAAAACAGTTCCGTTAATTTGGATCACATTTCACACACACTATTTTGAATATGTTGACTATCATATGCAAAAAGTTTCTCAATTTTTTATGTTTCGTTTCTGAGATATCAATTTTTGATAGTAATATCCGAGGTAATAACACTATAATACCTGTAATACTGTAGACTCAAAAATGCATATCTCAGAAACTGAACATAAAAAATTGAAAAACTTTTTGCATATTTATGATAGTCAACATATTCAAAATAGTGTGTGTGAAATGAAATCCAAATTAACGGAACTGTTTTCGAGATATTCAATTGAAACATGTTAAATAATCTTCAACAAAATCTAACACACCCTGTATCTAAACGAAAGGCAACATTGAACAACTGAATTCGCTCGTGAGTTTTCTCAGCTTTCATTCAATCAACAGTATGAATCAATCCCTTTCTTTATGATCAAAAACAAGCTTTGCATTGTTTTCAAAAAGGGGTATAACACAAAATTCAAAGAATTCATATTTCGAACAGAGATAGTTATCAAGAATCAAAATACGTTTTCGAAGCCTACAATAGACTAAAACTATAATGTCTCACCAAAATATAACTTGTTGGTTTTGGAATAGTGCTCGAATTTTTTTCCGAAAAATGAATTTTTTGACCGTGTCTCGTATACACCCTGATTTACTATAATTCATGTGATCATAACTAGACATGTATTTGAGTTCCGATCAATACATTTTCTAGCTTATTTTGTCTTATTTATACTAAAAAAACAGTTTTTTTTTCGTCAATCCTACCCCGATACGACGTTTTTACGAACTTTGTAGGCTTATATCTCAGAAACTAAACATACAAAACTTTTTAAACTCACATATTTTTCTAATGAGCCAATTTCCCGTGTTTTCGTGCGGGGTCCTTTAATCGTCGAGTTTTTGAACTTCGCTATATTGCAACTTTTATACAGATTGTTTTCCGAATCGTAACATATAGGGCATGTGAATGGCAACATGATTGGGCAATCGTACGTCATCGCTGGATCTGGCTGGAATATGCGACCAATACTCCTATATATGTAATGATTCGATAAATAATCTGTTACCCACGCAATATCCGGTGAAATTATTTATTTCCGTGAGTTCTACGTCCTATTAAAACAGATGACACATTTGGAAACATTCTGATTATGATTCAAGTATAGCTTCTGTTTTGAATTTGCTCTCTCGATTTTAAGACGTATGGAGGAAACGACTTGGCTGTCAGTTTCTACAGACAGTATTTCAAAGCAAGAACGACTCTGGCAGATAGATGGAGGGGAAATCCAGTGTTGACAACAGTGTTGCTTGGGCTTCCATTAGGATTCCTGTCATTTATATTGTATTCTTGCTGTTGTGCTAATATATTGGACGCAGACGATGATGAAGAAGAAGGTACTTAGATGAATAATGATGATTGATTAACTATTCAGATGTTATAAGAATTATATGTAATTTATTTTCAGAGCATGAGAAGAGAGAATAGAGCATCAAATATTTCGAGAAAGAAGAAAAACGTGTTGTTCTGGAGGAAGGTGTTTCAATTTCTAGTCAAAATATTGGTACCTGAATGTCATTGTAAAACGTTGATTGCAGTAGCGATGAAAAATAAATTAGTTGAAAAAAATATCCACTTTTTCAACATTCTATCTATTTAGTAAATATAAATATAAAGACGACTTCTAACAATATATAAAATACCTAATAAAAATTTCGATTAACTCGATGTAAACTTTTTGGTTATTGAAAATTTTCAATGAAAATCAACAGCCTTAGATTGTGTAACATCCTTTTTTCTTAGTGATTCATCCATTCGTAACTGTTCTTGCTGAAGCTGCATTCGAATTGCACCAAGCTGGGTTAAAATACTTCGGGTTTGGCCATCTTTAGATGAATCCGTGTGATTCACTATATTTTTTTGTACTGTAGGATTCTGAAAAACAATAAACACAGATCAGTTGATATTTTCAAAAATTCACTCTAGAAAACTCAAATAATAAGTTGGACTTCAAATAAGAAGCCATGTCATCTAGTACTTGTTCCAAGTTTCCATACTGTAAGTTTAAGACCGGAACTAGTTGCACTCAATAGCAGCTTAACTATAACTGATTGCTTGAAGAACTAAAACACACAATACTACTTCAAAATCTACAATACTCGCATGATCCAAGACTATAGTAAACAGTATGACCAAATTAAAAAGTAATAAGCTAGTATGCGATAATTTCAGATGACTATAATCATATTTCAAATAAGAATGTTCACACTAGCGATATTAAAATTGGTGCTTAATTCAAAATCATGGCCGTTTTAATGCTTCATTTCCACTTTGAGTACTCAGTATTCTATGTACTTCCCACTCTTGGCTCATAACAGGAAAATGAGAACTGCAAATGCAAATTTGACAGAGGGGATTTGAATAGCTGTGTGTAAGGTATATTTTTTCGTATATCAACTTATTTCAACTCTTTCCAGAATGGCGGAAATGGCGCCAGAAAAACAAAATTTCCTAATGTCAATTTTTTTTCCTCCTATTCATCCCAAAACTTTTATTTTATCTTCATCAAGTTGATAGCTATGGGGCTCTAAAGTTGGCATACCAACCTCATACCAACCTCAACCTCCCGCCGTAATAAAAATCAAGTCGGCTGGGAAGCAAATTATTCTGTAAGCAATAGGTATGTTCGTTTGTGTCCATGGCGAGGCTTAGATCAATGTCGTCACAATACAGATTCTAGAATATTTGGCAGAAAAAATTAGCAAAGTGCATTGGGGTTGATAGTCATTTATGAGAATTCGAAAATGACATGGAATTTACATACATCAAAAATCGATCAATTCTTATGGTTTTTTTTCCATACCTACTAGACCACCCTGTGAAAGAACAAAAATGCATGATTTCCAAAATAATATATTTAGTTCTCCTTATCCTCTTAGCATTCGTTTTTGAAACATAATATACATTACCTATTCATTACGTCGCTCACTTAAGCGTCTTAAACGATAACAGTTGGTGAAACTCTTGACATATTCGAAATTTTTGTAGTATTAAGAAAAACCCGCCGTCTTCAAGGTGCCGATCGAAGTGCCGATGCATCAATGTAAAGTAAAGTAAATTGCGATTTTTTCAAAAACAACTTGCCCTATCGATTTGAATTAGGAGCACCTTTTTCACGTAAAAAACCTTCAGGCATCATATTCTAAGATGAGAATGTGGAAAGAAATACCATAATAGTTATTTATGTATCAAGGGCGTAAAGTAGGCGTTTATGGCCTGTGGCGTGAATAATGGCCCGATGGCGCTAGCCGAGGGCCATTACACGCTGAAGACCATAAACGCATTTCACGCACGAGATACATACAAAATTTTATGCACTAGTGGTTTATTTTCTGACTCATAAATAATGACTATGTATTGATTTCGATAAACTAATATTCCCCAGAATTCAATTTGTTACGTATAAATTCAGTAATCAAGAGAAGCGTAATGTTCATGGATGATTTACATATGAAAATTATCGTACGAATATTGCAATTATCGTAATAGTAAAACTCTTTCAGCTCTAGAAGAGATTCATTCTTCAGAATTTTACAATATGCATACCCAGTATATAAACCTAACTTATTTTGACGTTGTCAATCAATCTGATGGTTGTTGTCTATAGCAATACATCTAATGAACGAGCTGAATTGTTATTCTTGGACTGAAAAGTAAAATTAGTGATGATAATAATAGCGAGACTATGGAATCGGATAAAGAAGAAGTTTATGATATACCGCTGGATATATTAGAATCTAGGAATATGATCATAGGTTTTTCATGAATTGATATGTGGATATAAGGTGACAGAACAGCGGGCGGTAAAATGCACTTTACTGCCCGTGGGCCATAATGAGCCCGCGGGCGGTAAAGTGCAACTTAACGCCCGCAAAACCGGGCGGTAAAGTGCACTTTACGGCCCGCTAGTGCATAAAAAATTTAATTGTTTTCACCATTAACCCATCCAATACCTTACGTCCCTGAATAGGATTTTGCATGATTTTCTAATGAACGGTTTCGGAAATATTGAGGAAGATCCGTCCTCAGGGTGTACCTCCTATTTGAAGGGCCTTCCTTAGGAAGCATTTTTCGATAAAAGTATGTAGGAACTTTTTGCCATAAAAATACTGCAGGAATCACCTCACGAATATTGTACCAATTATCAGAAAACATACTGTATATGCGGAAGAAAAAACTTAAAACAATTTATAACATATAATTATGGGCAATACAATTGATTAATTTCAACCTTGTAGGCGCAACGTATCATGTATTAGTATGGCCACTCTCCATTTGTTTGGTGAATTGAGCAGACATTTCTAAAACCCGGTCGACTTGATTTTTATTACAACGGGGTCAGTTGAGATTTATTCAAAACATAATTTTTACACAGTCACAATTTTTTTCTCGTATCCTGAAAGAACATATTTTCTTTCATCCAGGAACTTTTTTTCTATCTTCATTTGGTTGATGGCGGTGAGGACTCTGAAGTTTGCATTTTCAAATAAACCTCAACAGACCTTGCCGTAATAAAAATCAAGTGGGTCAGAAAACAATTTGTTTGTATGTACTCAATATGAATTGTAGTGCATTCTGCATTTCTGCATTCCTATTAAAACCGATTCAAACGAAACCCCAGCCGAATTGATTTGTATGACAGTTTGGCCAGTTGAGATTTATTTGAAAATACCAACTTCAGAGTCCCATAGTTTTTAACCAAATGAAGATAGAAACAACTTTTTGGATGAAAGTTGTTAAAATAAATACGTCCTTTTAGTATATGAGAAAAAAATTGTCACTGCGGAAAAAATAAATATTCTGACGCCATTTCCGCCATTTTGAAAGGGGTTGAAATATGTTTAAATACGAAAAAATATACATGCAGAAAAGTGGGCATTTTAATAATCTGACTATTTGATCATGAAATAAAGAAAGGGGAGTGAGTGCCACAAACTAAAGAAAAAAAGTCACCTGGACATTCTCAAGCGCGATTTTTTTTTTCATTAAGATTGAAATTATTCACTGATCACGGAAAAAAACATAATCTGCCGATTTCCACAAGCCGAAGTAGCAAAAATCATCAATTAAGTATGCGTGCTTTCTTCAGCCGCTAGGAACTGTGTTTTCCCCACTTCGCGCCACTCTGCCCTTCTCAGTTTTCCTTTTCAAAATATCTCGAACTGTCCCCATATTATATAGCACAGAACATCCAACGTCCAAATGCGAAACCCAGGCTTCCCGCCAGAACCGAATTCGTCTGCGCATGTCCGAAAAAATGACATTTGACATAAAGATTCCAGTTGTTTTGACCTGTTGTACTTGGATTTGTGAAAATATACTTGGTGTTCAATTTGAAAAAGCGAAGTTGCTGGCATTTCCAGAAAAACCGGAAGTACGCCATAAAACTGCACCAAATTTCAGAAAAATCCGGTGTCTACATGAACTTTTTCTCTCAAAATTGTAAATTCTTTGAGCTGTTGAAGTCCTGATATAAGAAACTGACTCACCCTGTACATATCATAATTTAGTTATTACATTCAGTAAACAGAAGAAAAATGCAACTGTCAGATTAAAAAAATTCATCTACATAATTGTCTGATTATGGGTCAATACAACGACATTAAGATGAAGCGCCTGTATAATAAGCTAATTTCATTTTCAAAAATTGGTCATGACTCAACATCGTTTCTCAATATCTGACGCGGTGGAATGATTCTCTACCCCCTTCGTACGGCCACCCCCACCGTGCAAACCGGATTAATATTTTTCGGATATCAGAAACACCTGGGTCGAATACACTATTAATATCTGAAGCGCTCGAGTATGTCTTTGTGACTGATTTTTTTTTCAATCTTTTTTACAATTTTGAAAACCTGTACACGCTTCCCCCACCAGTGAAAGGGCATACCTCATATAAACTATTTTTCCACCACCTACCATTATTTATTCCTTTGCGGGGTATAAGGTCCCGTGTGGTTATAATATTCTTAATCTCTGGTAGAAGTCCATGTTTGCTCAAAGTGGAGTGGAGTTTTTCATAGGAAAAAAAGGACAGCTGAAAGTCACCCTCCACACTTTTTAAATGATGTGCTTATTCAAGGGGACATGTTTCGGACTTAGAAAAGTCCATCTTCAGCCCAATTGAGAAGTTACTACAAGCGCTACAAATTCGGCTCTGGCGGAGAGCCTAGGCTCCTCATTTGGACGTTGGGAGTTCTGTGCTATACAGGGTGCTTCAAAATTCGATGTAAATATTTTAAGGACGTATTGTTGGGATTCAAATAAGACTTTCTTCATATAAACATGTGTCCTAAAATGCACCCTATTTCGGCCAAGAATGGTGAGGACGCCCCTCCAACCCCATCCCCCCAAAACTGGGTTTACATAATTTTTGAAGAAAAAATGAAATAAAGTGTCTAAAAGGACAGGGGCCTGCCAATTTTCAGAAGATTTGATCCGTTATTTTGGTCACAATTTCAGAATATCTTTTTTCTTTACCTAACTTACAGTGGCTGTAGCTTGGAGGGGGTGAATTTTAGGACCCATGTTTACATGAAGAAAAAGTCTTATTTTGATCCCAACTATATGTCCTATATGCGAGAGAGTCTGTGTCATAACAGTAGGCAACTAGGTATCTCTTTTCTTATGAAGTTTGGCAAGAAATTGAATGTTTGAAGACATTCAGATTATTGAAATTGGGCTATCCACAGACTTTTATTTCGAGTATTTAAAAAAATTGACTACTTTCGAAGATCTAAGTATACAAAATTTATACTGAGAATACGTCCACACACTGAGGATGTTGAATTTGTTAAATCTAGTCAGTTTCCTTTATTACCCTAAATTTGGATCTCAAGAAAGCACTCCTTAACAAGTGACGATTTTTTGAAAAC